CATAGATCTGTATTATTGTAGGAAAACACAGCAATCAGGTTAATTTATTGATAAGGAAATTGCAGGATTTTAGGAAACAAATGAAATACTCAACTGAATAACTGCAATGACTATAATAAAATAATATAAAACATAAATGATTTCTGCAAACCATTTTAATACACACAAAGCAACACATTTCCAATGTAAAACATAAGCAATCAATTAGAATGTATCTGTATCAGTTTGGAATAAGATAAGGCTGTGATTTATCTATCTGGAACTGATTTAAAAGTGACTGATACACACACATATATTATATATTTATATACACACACACACACACACACACACATCTATATATATATATATATATATATATATATATATATATATATATATATATATATATATATATATATATATATATATATATATATATATATATATATATATATATATATATATATATATATATATATATATATATATATATATATATATATATATATATATATATATATATATATATATATATATACATATATATATATATATATATATATATATATATATATATATATATATATATATATAGATGTGTGTGTGTGTGTGTGTGTGTGTATATAAATATATAATATATGTGTGTGTATCAGTCACTTTTAAATCAGTTCCAGATAGATAAATCACAGCCTTATCTTATTCCAAACTGATACAGATACATTCTAATTGATTGCTTATGTTTTACATTGGAAATGTGTTGCTTTGTGTGTATTAAAATGGTTTGCAGAAATCATTTATGTTTTATATTATTTTATTATAGTCATTGCAGTTATTCAGTTGAGTATTTCATTTGTTTCCTAAAATCCTGCAATTTCCTTATCAATAAATTAACCTGATTGCTGTGTTTTCCTCAATAATACAGATCTATGATGAGTCTTGAATCCAGAATTGTGTTGATGTATTTATAGGATGCATAATCTGGTGTCAATACACTGGTGTCATGTGACGTGTTTAAATCTGTTCACAGGAGACGCGGTGGAAAATATGCGGTCGGCTCCGCCTGCATCGGTGGAGGTCAAGGAATCGCTGTCATCCTGGAAAACATTAAATAAGCACAACAAAGACAGGTTATTGCAAACAAATCAAGTCGAACATCAAAACTATCCCTAAACATGTCAAGCTGTCCATCCACCCACATGCAGTTTTGCTTATTCGGGAACACTTTACAATAGGGTTCTATTAGTTAATGTATTTACTAACATGAACAAACAGTGGACAATACATTTATTACAGTGTTTAGTCACTCACAGTTAACTCAGAGTGCATAACTAATATTATCAACCACAACTTTGGATTAATAATGCATCATGTTGAACTATGATTAGTAAATGCTGCACAGTATTGTGCATTATTAGTTAATGATCATAAATACATGGACTAATGTAACCTTATTGTTGTAATGAGCCATGCAAATGACTTTACCCACTTAAAGCAGTGATTTCTGAGCAGATTTAGGATGTTTGGTTAGACTTACAGTGCCTTACTGTAGTTTTACATCTGTGCCAATATAATCAGACATATTGTGCTGGGTCAACATCTGCAGAATAATAATGTCACTGAAGCTTCTGATTGTGCCGTGTTGATGTTTTTGTATAAAATGTTGACTAAAATAATGTTGAATTCACTCATTTGACTGTTGTTGACAATAAAGAATCAGCTGTATGCTGCTATGCTTTGAAAAGACCTTTTATTCTCTTTTGCTTTGCAGATTTATTTATATATTAGTAGATTTATACATACTGGAACTACTATGTAATGTGTATTTATATAGCACCATACACCCAAAGCGCTTCACAATCATGAGAGGGGGGTCTCTCCACACCACCACCCGTGTGCAGCATCCACTTTGATGATGCAACGGCAGCAAAAACTCGAACAGCGCCAGTGCGCTCACCACACATCAGCTATAGGAGGAGTGGAGAGACAGTGATAGAGCCAGTTCAGTGGATGGGGATGATTGGGAGGCCATGATGGAGGGAATTTGGCCAGGACACCAGGGTTACACCCTTACTCTTTACAAGAAGTGCCATGGGATTTTAATGACCACAGAGATTCTGAAAGACGGTGCTCACTGACAGTAGGATCCCCTGCCCTATACTGGGGCATAAGGACTCACACAGATCTCAGGTTGAGCGCCCCCTGCTGGCCTCACTAATACCACTTCCAACAGCAACATAAACTATTACAAACAGGCTTTGTCAAGCCAGCCTCAAAGTTTGTCTCGACGAACTTTACTGTCTAGTTGCTCTTGGGGTGCAGGGTGATATGGCTGTGACAATTCTTTAAACATTTAGGGTTTTTAATCCAAATCAATCTACTGTTTGATTTAATTCAAGTTTGTTTATTGTTTATCTTTTCTAGAAGAGTAGATATGCAAGTATCCAAATAAGTATCCGAGCCCAAAAATAGAAAGCTTTTACCGTACACCACACTGCTTTTAATGCCAACCGCAGACGTCTTTGGCCAACAGCCATCATAAGAGCTGAATGGAGTGAGGACCTGATTAAAAATGCTGGACTCTGCAATTCTCATGTTATATCAGTTAAGTTCGCGCTATGCTGAATAATACACATCACTCATTTTTGATTATAGCATTGATTTCAGCAAAAACTGCAAAAATTATGTTAACATGCTAATTCATGTTAGAAACATGCTAGAAACATGCTAATTAATGCAAAAATAATGTTAAAGTGCTAATCCATAGTAGAACCATGATAGCAACATGCTAATTCATGCTAGAAACATGCTAGTATAATGTTAATTCATACACAAATTATGTTAACATGCTAATTCACACTAGAAACATGTTAAATCTTACCAGGAACATGTTAATAACATGCTAATTCATGGGGAAAATATACTAACATGCTAATTCATAGCAAAAATGTGATATCAAATGATAATTCATGCTAGAAACATCCTAGCAACATGCTTATTCATACTAGAAACATGATGACATAATTTATACTAAAAATATCGTAGTTACATGTTAATTACTACTAAAATCATGATAGGAACATGCTAATTCATGCGAAAATTGTTAACATGCTAATTGACACTAAACATGCTAATTAATGTTAGAAACATGTTAGTAACATGCTAATTAATATTAGAAACATGTTCGTATCATGCTAATTAATGCAAAAATAATGTTAACATGCTAATCCATACTATAACCATGATAGCAACATGTTCATTCATGCTATGAACATGGTAATATTTATGCAAAAATAATGTTAACATAATAATGCATATTAAAACCATGATAGCAACATGCTAATTCATGCTAGAAACATGCTAATTCATACCAGAAACATGTAAACATTGACAGCTGACAGAGTGACAGCTGAGTGTGTGTGTGTGTGTGTGTGTGTGTATCAAGTTAAATATGGTGAATTAAACTGCGGACACTAAATGCTTAGAATAATAGGTGAAAGTGTGCATTCACACATCCTGTCATAAAGGTGCAGTTTGCTGTCAGAATCATGATTACCCAGGCCTTGTACATATCCGTCTTCTTTCCTTGTCTTTGGCTAGGTTGAACCTCGATTTTTAGCACTACAAAGTTTTGAATCTTGTCATCATGAAACATTGCCACATAGCAAAATATCTCTGGTCCAGGTCTGGCCCACTCAATCAGCTTTTGCTTGGCCCACATACCGCAGTGAATTACGGTACATGAATGGACCAAGTCTGGCTTCCAGACAAGAGCCAAACATGGACCAAATCTGGGCAAAGTCTCAGCCAAGTTAAAAACCCATAACTGAGCCTGAACCAGGCCAGATGTGTTAGTGTGTCACAACTGCAGTGAAATTGAAAAACCCATGAAGCATTGTGCTTTATGAGTGCTATGGGCGTACTTTTTCTCGAAGCGACCTGATTGGTAGAATTTTTTTCTTCATTTGAAAATAATAAAAATGTATTTTGAATGTGGGTCAAGATAGGCCAAACCTACATGGCCCACATATATAAATTATTAACATCCGGGCCAAATAGTACATTTTACATCTGGCCCAAGTATTGTGTGCCACCTTAAAGATCTGTCAAGCCAGGTCCATGTTTGGCCCACATGCTTTATGCCAGTGCCGGATGAATGCCAGCTGTGCCAATTTTTGCCAAATCTGGGCCAGAATTCTTTGCTACCTGGGTGAATTCTTGCACATGACTACACATAACAAAATTGTAAGCATCCAAAGACTTGTACACCTTTAACTTCTCTCTTGTTAAATTGCTTGGAGTTTCAATGAGGTGTATATTTCAGGCTGGATGCTTGGCCATTTCGTCTTATCCAATATCCATTGGGAGGGAGCTATTGCAAATGGACCTGTCAGATGAACGCCGCTCACTTTAACGTTAATTTTGCTGAATAACTGTGCTTATTACTGGGTGACGAGCTGTTACAATACACTGAAAGAATTATGTAATTAATATAAATAATATGTAATCAATGTAAAATCTCTAATACAACAACAAACTCCGCACTGGATGTCATTTCCTTGCTGTAAATGCTAGCGCTCCCGTTTTTTCTGCAACCTCGCTGCGCGCGCATCCTGAATGTAACTTGTCGATATACATACACAGTGGTCAGCATAAATGAGTGCACCCCATTTTGAAAATAAGTATTTTTATCAATTTTTCAGTTAATATGTCATATATTTTGGTGCATTAAAAAAAGATGTGTTAAACGGATATATTTGTTAAAATTATATTTTAATCACCGAACATCTTCAGAAATAGAAAGATAATACATTAAATTCATGAGAAATATTAGAAAAAGAAAATACAAACTACACAAAAGTTCAACAAATTTGTATACATTTTTATTTCTCTACACCTTTTACATTAAATATTATTTATTTAATAGTATTGTGGGAATAAAATGATCGCTTTATTTATCTTCACATCATGAACGTTTACAAAACTCGTCCGATGAGCGGCAGCCATTACTCAACATGCGCGGCAGTAAAAGCGCGTGTTTCTTTAAGAGCAAAACATGCCGGAAGAACAACCCCGAGCGTAACACGTCACGACTATATATACGTCAAATGCCCGGATGTCGGTCTTTTTTTCTAGTTGAAGGTAAATGTGGCTTCCATGTCTGTTTTCTCCACACACAATCTGCATTAATCTCACTCATCATCGCGTTGTATGTCAATCTATATCGTATTTAAATGCTTTAAAATACTCATAGCGCTAATATCTGTGAATATTAGTGGACGTGTTGCGTGTTTTAGCGTACATTATGAGTGTTCGCCGCGGAGGCCTGACAACCGGGTTTATATGAACGCTAACGGCAAATTCAGGGCTTATATTTACATTAAAACACCGTTAAATCATACGCGACAGCTTGTCATGAGAACGTAATGTTAAATAAACGTTATTATGACGATTGTTAGTCTTGAGTGTGTAACTATATGTTCCGTTAGCATGTTAGCAATGCTACATCGGGTCACGTTGAGTTAACGTGCTGTATGCAGCTACTGTTTATATAGTATAGAAATATATGTATAGTTCAGATTGTGTATTAAATTTCATTAGTTTTATATTGTCAACAGTTTCTGTGTTCAACCGTTTAACTATGATTTATATTAGCAGTGCATTTTAGGATCTCAACTCGAATATTAATGAATGGCTTTGGTCAAATTGCTGAATTTGTACATTTCAGTTCGGGTATTTAAGGGATAGTTCACACAGAAATTAACAAATTCCTTCAAATGTGTCTAAACTGCAATGAATTTTGTCTGTTGTACGGTAAATAAGATAATTGTGGAGTAATGTTGTAAGAAAATAGCTATTCCATTGGAGTAAAGTTGGATTTATACTAACAAGTTCAGACTTCATGTAATTTCAGATGAGTTTTCTTTGCAAATTCTATATTAGGGAAATCAAATTAGTAGACAGTCAAATTACAGCATTGTTCAGTCAATTAAATGGTGCTTATGTGGTTTTAAAGTCACACTTTCGTGCAATTTCAGATAAAATATCCAGCGTTTACAATATGGAGACCTTCTGTTTGGCAGCTATTTTAAAAATACTTAAATATTAATATAGAGGTAAAGTTGGTTTTATATTTGCGCATTCGTTCATTTAAAAGTCTTTTGTTTACCATGTTACTTTAAATATTCGATCGGAATTAGCCTGCAAGTATGACTTTAACATTAACACTTTGACTGCGAACAGTGTTATACTTTGATAGTCATTGGCTGCTAATATGATTTCACTATTTAGAGTTTGCAAATAATACTTTTATGAAATTATGTTATTAAGGGGAAAGTCTGAATGTGTGAAGATAAAACCAACTTTACCTCTATATTACTAATATGTTGTTTATAACTGTACCTAATGATAATTAATCAGCGTTAGCCTTTTAAATTTCTGCTTTGCTATTTTATTGCACACACAATGTGCTAATATAAAGCCAACTTGACCTCTAGTTTGACATTTTTTTGTAAGAACAAAAATACTTTTTTAGGTAAATGGCATTTTTACTTCCTTTAAAATCTATTAAAACAGGTTAAGAACTATTAGAGAATGAATTGATCACAGAATTAGCATTTTTCTGTGAGCTGTCCCTTTAATGTAGTGCTTATCTCAATGCACTTTAAGCATCGTCTGTATTGTTTTTCTACATGTGCACATTTTAATGACATTTTATTGTGCTCAGATGGCTGAGGGCGATAAGAAGAAGGTTGCCCGTAAGCATGGCAGCCGTAACCCTGAGCTGGTCAGGGGCATCGGCCGCTATTCCCGCTCCGCCATGTTCGCTCGCCGGGCCATGTACAAGAGGAAGACTAAAGCTCCAGTGACGAAGGTGGGTTTTTATTTTCATGATCAGCATATTGAAGTGTCACTCCAAATCAGTGGTTTTTTTTTTAAAGATCTCTCTTTTGGTGTTTCAGGTGGAAAAGAAAATCAAGGAGAAGAAGGTGAAGCAGAAGTCAAAGAATCCCACCACGGCCATCAAGACTGTCGGCGGAGACAAAAATGGAGGCACTCGTGTTGTCAAACTGCGCAAAATGGTGAGCAAAAGATGTCATGAGCAGATCCTGAAGTGTTCTGAATGTTTTAAGTCATGCAGTCATTTTAAAACTGAACCCTTGTGTTTGTTCACGCTTTGTACATTAAGTTGACTTAAATATTTCTTTTAAAATACTAAGGTGCAATTTTAACTTGTCCAGTTAGTGTTTTATCACCTTCGCATTTTTTGTGACTGAATTTTTTTGTTGATAAACACGAGTGTACATGTGTTATGAACCACCAAAGCATGAAAATTGCTTGTTTATTTGAAATTTGAGCATGTCAAATGAACAAGTCGAACGAATGCAAAGGCGTTTATAGGAATTTATGGTGTAAATTTGTAGGTTCTCAGTCTAAAATGTTTTGTGTTAGTATGAGTTATAAATGAAGAAATCGGTGCTTGTTGCTGAATATCCTTGAAAAGAAAATGCTTGAAATTTAATCTAGTGTGTTCAAGGATTGAAGGGTGTTTTTTTAACATGACGTGCTTGGAAATGTAATGTTGCGTTCATATTTTGTTGCTTGAGTAATAAATGAGTAAATGCCAGTAATTTAGTTTTGGGCCTTGCGGCTTGGCCTGTCACGTTATTTATATTTAGCTTACAATTTAATTGTAATGAGGCATTGGAATCAGAATGTAAACATGCATATCTTATATAAATAACAAATGTTAAAGAGCAAGGTAAAGAGTAACAGGCTTGATATCTGCTAGTAGATCTATTTTGAGCTGTCAAACACACACATGAAAATATACTATAGTCATTTATAGTAAATACTATAGTGTTTTTTAACCATACTGACACTGGCGCTTCCAATAGAGATAAAGATGTTTCACAATCAGCTAAAATGTTGCTAGAATTGTTTTTGTGAATGGGTGATATATTACATCAGTAAAAATGATTAAGAGGTTATGTCCATGTGTTGTGCAATAAGTCCATGGCTGCGTCCGAAACCACCTACTACTCAGTAGGTACTGCATTTGAATTCAAACGTACTACTCAGCCGTTAGAAAAGTACGAATGGAATTCGGACGTACTACATCCGCCATTTTGTCATTGTCACGTGACCTACCTGCATCAATTACGTCGCTTTACTCCCATTCATGAATTCGCTCGCGGGGCATCATGGGATAGCGGAGCATGCATGCGATCCACACTCCAGAATTTTGCCGGAAGTAGTAAGTCATCCGGGTACTTCTCGCATACTGATTTTCGAATTCTGTGAATTCGGACATACTACTCCGCTCGCATTCTGATTTTAGCATCCTAGCATATAGTATGGAAGTATGCGGTTCCGGACGCAGCCCATATGTTGATTGTGACAGGCCTGCTTGCAGCACACATGCAATAATTTTATTCCTTAGTTTACTATATTATAATGTATGACAGAATCTAAACAAATAGTATCTTATATGATGTGATGCATTCCCCCACAGTCCAAAGACATAAGGTACAAGTAAATTGGGTTGGCTAAATTGTCCATAGCAGGGATGGAAACCCTGTTCCTG